TATAGAGGTGCGCGAAGTTGATGGGGTGCGCCGCTCGCTTGCCTGCGCCGCTCGCTTGCCATACACGTTACGCCTTGTTGGACATTATGCTCTAGATACGGCAATATAGTTTTGGTAGAACTGCTATTACATTCTTGCTTTGCGTGTATAGTTGTCATCATTCAAAACTATAGCGTCAGACCTATTTTAGCGCAACACAGGCCTCTTTTGCCACCTCATGTTAGCTACGATTAGAAGTTCATGACGTGAGCTGCGTAGAGACAAAGATGCGCGAGGGGTATCCTAATAAGTGAAAGTTTCACATGTGTTAAAACGAAATGCATGTCACGAAATACTAGATTCCGCCATCGCGCCGCCAACATTCTTCAAGAGCCCAGCAGAGCTTTGGCTCACTTCGGATAACATTCGTAGGATCGACAATTCCCAGATAAACATAGGGTATGAGCTACAGATAGCACAATTTGCGCTTCTTATTCATGCTGCAAGCAGTGTGCGAATGTGTGTTTCTCTTACATTATGAACGTTGCTAGGTTAAACGCTGTTTTGGATGGCGTGACGTCATGGTTATGGAAAATGACGGCACCTTTCACCTGCACACGCATGAATATGGGATGGCATCATTATATTTGCGAGTTCTCTTATATGACCTTGGTTTCCGGCTTTCTCATTTACTGTCATTCACCAAGTTAAAACATGTCTGACCCTAGAAACATGGCTGAAATCATGAGATATTCTGAGCGTCGCACAAATGGAGATGATGGGGTGGTGCGCTCTATTAGCGATGTGCCCATCACCGAACATCGAAAACCGTTCTTGAACTCGAAAGGCTCGAAGCTCCAGCATGCAGGTATGCGTTCACACATGGAACAATCCGCAGCTGCATCTCTAATACGACCAGGCACTGCCCGTGCAAATCGCGCCCCCTCGGTAGAATCCCCCCAAGGTACCAAGGGTTGGAAAGAGCAGCACTCCCATCAGACCGTTCTACAACAGCATTGCGACTTCTTTGACCGCGACCATGATGGTGTTCTTTGGCCACAAGATACGTTTGTTGGCTTCTACCGGCTCGGCTTTGGTGTCATCCTATCCATCGTCGCCGTGTTCGTAATCCATGCCAATTTCTCCTACCCAACGTGCTCTGGATGGTTACCTGATCCGTTCTTTCGTAAGAGGTCCAATTCACAAACTGCATCGGATTCACGCTGACTTCTTCTACCATTATATCAGGTGTCTTTCTTAAAAATGTACACAAAGACAAGCATGGCAGTGACAGCGGGACATACGACACTGAAGGACGCTTTTTGCCACAAAAGTTTGAGGATATATTTGCCAAATATGCTGAGGGAAGGGACTACTTGACAATATGGGATGTCAGCAACCTGCTAAAGGGGCAACGATGCATTGCTGATCCAATTGGTTGGGGTGGTGCATTCTTTGAATGTAGGTCGATATAAGTGTTATCGTTTGCAGACTTCAACCCTAACAAACACAGGGATTGCTACGTACATAATGCTTTGGCCCGAGGACGGCAGAATGATGAAGGAGGATATCCGCCGCATCTACGACGGGAGTATATTTTATACGCTTGCTGAGAGACGAGAGAAGAGTTCGTGATGTTGATGTTTTGTGGTCTCCTCGGGGTTCTCGCTCTCGTGGGTTTCATTACATCAAAGACATCACCTTTGAATGTGGAAGACTTTACAGCAAACGTTCGCATTTTTCCATGTTTTGATAGAATCCAGAATAATTCAAGTTGAGTTTCTTGAGTTGTGAGTCAATTTGTCTAAGCTTTGTCACCGCGCTAGCGAATGGTGGAGATGTGGCTGTTGAAAGAGCTGTCCATATTTAATTCAGCAAATGGATTCGTCACCGTTAAAGATGTGGATAAAGCTGGCGAGTAGGAAAATATCACTAGCCAATAAGATGGGCTGAGTGTACTAAATCAACATGTAGAGCGAATCATCAGAGCCAAAGGTAAATGTATAGATGCCATGGCAATTGCTCAAAAAGACGATAATCGCGAAAAAAAATACATCAACTGGATTGAAACCAAATCATCCTCCTCCCGAGAGAGAATCTGTAAGTGCCAGGAGTGGTCTTCGTTGTCACACAGGAAGATACCCTTACATCCTTCATGGTCAATGCTGTTCTAGTATCTGTCATCAAGAGGGCATGAGCCTACAAAATAACCCTGGCCCGGGGTTTCAAAGAAGTGATTTTCGGGTGAAGGCCACTGTCGCAAGAATTTGAAAGATAATGAGGCTTTTTCATGCACAGATGGACCTCTATTCAACGCCCTGAATCCGACGCTTGTACCGTCACTACGCGATCTCAGGATCAAGTCCAAATAGGCCCAAGATAAAACATATGATGAGCTACCTGGCGATATTGAAGAACGAGGAGCCATGGAGAAGGATCTTTGTTCAGTGGAGACCCTTGTACAAGTTTTTCAATGGAACCAGTGGATTGCTAACACATTGACGTCCTACCTGTATTCCAGAACGGCATCGACGCTGTACACCGCAATACGGGGAGCAATACGGGATGCTCTCCAAAAAATACCGTCGGTCCTCATGTCAATCGATAATTGGGAAGAATTACATGTACCCAGCTGGAAGCATCCTATGAGACTCAGCTCATGCCAAGCAATCCTAGTACTAAAAAGGGAAATATTATGTATTACGATCATTCGATTTGCAAAATTTCAGCTCATTGAGTAAGCCAAAAATCAGCATGTTGATGTGTACCCACATCAGTTTCCTCAGCCTCAGCTGAATTCTTTGAATTGTACCCTCTGTGCTATTCTCTAGGTCGTCTTCTATGCCCACGAAATCCTATTGTGACCTTACATAAATATTTGCTCATTGACAGCACTCATGATCATTCTCGCAAATATTCTCATCAACACTTTCACCAGCATTCTCACCAATACCAACATTCTTACAAACATCGTCAAAGACACTCAACAAATTTCCACAAGTTTCAACACCATGCGATTCAACATTTTGCCAATGGTCGCTATCGCGGCAACTTTACCAAATGTTTCTCTATCGGCGCCGACGACTGATTCCATTGGCATCTTTCCCCGCGACAACACCGCTGCTATAATTGGCACCTGGGATGATAATCGATGTGGCGTCTCAAAAGTAGATGATAGTGTCGCTGTCCCTGACAACCGCCCCACCGGTAATTGCAAAGAATTGCGTGGGAACAGTATGCAGGTCTTCTGGGTCAAGAAGGGGTGCGTAGGTACGTATATTGACCGGCTCTCACAGCGCCATCAATGAACAAGTTAATGAGCGGCTCTGTAGTTTTGCTTTTTAAGAATAGAGGCTGTAACACGAACCCAACTCCCGCAACTTCGCTGGCGAATGGCTGGAATCAGTGTTTTGATAACAGTCGGTATGTGAGCTGGACAGCATATTGTGCGTAGAATGTTTGGATAAGGTACTACTGGGGGATCACTAGATGAGGTACTGTTGGTAGAGTGTGATAATTTGGTTACGATGGCAGGATCTGTAGATTGCTTGTTCATGGCATAATCTAGACAGGGGATTTTGGGGGGATGGCGCAGTGGTGAAGCGCCTGGAAAGCCTCTGCTGTCTCACGTCAGCAGAGCTCGAAGGTTCGATTCCTTCTCTCCTCGAAACCATATTAGTATGGTCCACCCACATGAGAGAGTGACTCATTGAAAACTACCCATTCGACCTGA